ATTCAGCTCGGCTAGATGTTTGGACTGACGCCTTCACTGAATCTCGGAACAGTCCTTCATAATTCACGTTTGTATGTATGTTGTTTAACGTCCCTCTCGGAAATTTTTCACTCATATGGAGACGCCACCACTTGCCGGTGGAGAACTGCAAATTGTGTCCTATGCTCGGCACTTACGGCCATTGAGCAGTAAGGGATTTTTTTCGTGCCAGCACCTACTGCGACACGGGACCTCGATTTATACAGTCTCATCCGAACGACCGGTCTCCACGTCCCACAGTGGGATTCGAACCCGCGACGTAAGGATCAACTCCTTACTCCGCGATTCTAGAGCAGACGCTCTAACCACTGCGCCACGCGGGCGACAAATTCACGTCTGGTGATGTACTGAAATTTGCGCTTGAAATTTAGAATAGCTTGATAAAGGAAATGTCGGTGTTGATAAATGATTATGTTGTATGGTATCACTAAACATCGATAAATAAAACCATTTCATGTGATATTTTTTCATAAAACAGCGATGAGTTCCTAAAGAGATCTCCTCCCTAGTCCGTAGATCACGAATTTTCATTGGCTGTCCAATGATAATAAAGGCGATCAAGGAACATGGCGGATAAATTCAAGTTTTAATGTTGACATACACGAAAAATAACCGATATATGGATTTTTCTGTATATTTGTGAATCAGTTCATGTCTTGCATAACTACATATTTTTAGTTCAGGTAAGCAATTTTAAAATAGATAATTGCTGATAATTTGAGCTGAAATCTGTGCGCTGTTGCACCACTACGGAGATCCTAGTGAGTTGTATCCCACTCAAAATGGAGATAGCTACATTATTGCAAACAATATTGATCTTTACCCTGCATATTTAGCAGATAAACTAGGCGCGTGGTAATGTTGAGTAAATACGCCTCTTTCAAAATTGTGAAATTGGTAGTCCCAGGTCAGTGTGTGGGGAAAATGCTCACTCTTCTCCCCTCTCTCCACTCACTCTTTCTCCTCACTATCTCTCTCTCTCTCAAGCATTTCCCCCACTCTCCTTTTCCCTCTCCTCTCACTCCCCTACACACTCTCTCTCTCCTTCACCCTCTCCTTACCACACTCTTTTTTCCCCACCCTCTCCCCCCAACAATTCTTTCTACCCACACACTCCATCTCCTTCCCTCTCTCTCCCCTCCACCCTCTCCTCACAGCACCCAATCTCCCTCTTCAACCCTCTCTTTCTCTCCCCAGTCCCTCCTTCTCTCCCCACTCTCTCTTTATTTATTTATTGTCCGTCTGCCTACTTTGTTTTATGAAATAAACTATATATAAGCATAATACATGGATGATTCATAGTTTATTTACAATAAAAAATAATGAAAAATACTTATTCTAAAGCAAAGATAAAATTCCTATCGTTATTTAAAAGAAATTATAAAATGTTTTTTCATGATCTTTTTAGTTTAAATTGGATTTAGCAGAATTTCTTCATTTTTGCAAAAAATGAATGTAATTTATAATTATAAGGCCGATAACTTCAAACAACAGAAAATACTGCTTCCCAGTTCACAATTTGATCATTGCGTTATTTGTTTGCGCATTTAATTTTATATGCTTGAAGAACAATATTTATATGCTTACTAACATGCAAGGAACATGATATGTCAGCTTGAAATCTCAGTTGGATATTATTTGTTGTACCGTTATTAAAAGTAGATATGCGGCTGATGCCCTAAATTTCCACATGCTTGTTTTGTTTTGAACATATTTTATTGACATAAGCAAATGGATCAGAAACAAGTTCTTACAACTTACTGGTTCCTCTCCTTAAATATAACAATTGTCATGCAAAGAAGAAAAAAATGCGGAGAAATATTAATGTAACAAGTAACATAATTGAAAGTTCTGTTCAATAACATAGCAATTTAAAATCTACAGGTTTCATCAATAAATTTATGGACAGTAGCAAAAATTGTGTGATTAGTTTGTAGAGGCAAATCTCTGTCACCCCAAACTAACAAATTTGTGTCAATACTGACAAAGTCGTCAAGTAAAAACAGGCGGTTAAAAAGCTTATTTCTAGCATTGGATAATTTCTACATGCAAAAAAGAAATGATAAACATCTTCGTATTTACCACATGAACAAAAAGGATTATCGATAATACTTCGTTTATAAAGATCATAATTAAGTAAGCAGTTGTGTCTTAGTTTGTTATGAATTATGTTTGTATAGCGTTTACCAAAAGAAAAATATGTTGGCGGATTGCTGACTTTTGTAATATAGTACATAAGTTTTTACGGAATGAATTAACTGAGATGGCTTCTCTCGCTTCTACTTTTTATAAATTCCACTGTTTCACAGCATCTGGTACAAAGGACCTTTTGTATACATCTATTGTACATCTTGGGACAATAAACTGTTCTTTATTACGGGTATTATATTTTGATACATTTTCATGCTTGTTGGGGACAATATTATACTCAAATACTCAGGAACACCCCCTTTATGAATTTTGAACATAGTAGTCATTTTTGCAATATAGCGCCTGGATTTTAAAGTTCCCCAACCAGTTTCTAGTAAAGTGTTTCTGAAGATACAAAAATAGGAAGCCCTGTGACAATTCTAGCGGCAGCTATTTGCACTTTTTCAAGCTTATCAGCATCGTGTTTAGAGCAGCCATCCCAAACAATAGAAGCGTATTCAAGCGTAGGTCTAATAAAGGTAGTGTACAATTTTGAAAGGTTATTTCTACTCAGTTTGTACTTAAGTTTTTTTTTCAAAAGCCCAAGTTTCTTATGAGCATTGTTTACAATACCGTCAATATATGCAGACCAGCTGAGGTTTTGTGACAAAAGTAGACCCAAGTGTCGATGGACTGGAACGCACTATCACGGTGTAAATTTTGATAAAAACAATTTTAGTGGCATGTTTTAACTATCTTTGAAATATGCTTTTAATCTATTGTAATAACTTAAAAAAACATAAAAGACTAATTATGCTAATTACCATGTAACTCAAAATGTGTCAATTTAATCGATTTACTCAACATGTCATGAGTTATTCTATCTAAGCCATCCGTCACTCATGCTCAGAATTGTGCTAATTGTCATTGTTATATTTTACTATTTATATATTACATGCAATATTGTTAATCAGTCAAGTCCTAGGCTTCGGATTGTTCGGGTGCAATTTTTGGATTTCCAGAATTCGCCCTACCGACCTAAGTTACAATAAAGTGCCATTCCATCGTTAGCATTTTTATGTTTCATAGTTGCCGGAAAGTTTTTACACTTATTTTCCCCGGTGATAATTCACTCCAGTCTGTCACCTTTAAAATATTTTAGGCAGAACAGATATAGTTTTCGTGTTAAAAAAAATAACCTTAGATTTAGATGGATTAAATTTTAGAAGCCACTTATTTGACCATAATTCCAAAGTATTTAAATCGTGGTTTAACTTATATTCAATGTCTAAAATATTGTATGAAGATTGTTGAAGCGAATTGTCATCAGCAAACAATCTACACATTGACAACATATTTTCAGCCACATCATTTACATAAATCAGAAATAAAAGTGGCCCCAAGACAGAGCCCTGGGGTACACCTGCAAATATATCAAGTTTTGACGATAACAAATCCTTATATATAACTCTTTGTGACCTATGACTTAAATAACTAGAGAACCACTGAAGGAGATCAGCAGATATACCATAAGTCTGTAATTTAAAAATAAGACCTTTGTGCCACACTCTGTCAAAAGCTTTTGAAAGATCACAAAAACCATACAACATGATTTACCTTCATCAATGTTTTGTACAATGTTATGATAGGTTTCTAGTAATTGGTACACAGTAGAATGTCCACATGCAGAGAGGGAGTCTACAAAATATATTTTATTTTATATACTTTATTTGAGCAAATATGTGACTAGGGTTTGACATTCACTATCCCTTTCCCTTGTATGCATTCAGTTTACTTAAATTCTTTATTTTTATAATTTTTGTCCTGTTCAGACATCGTGTCATGTTGCGTTGAATGTTAGCCAAAATGCACTTGCATCATGACTCCCTCGTTGTTCTACGCATTATCCGTATTTCATATTTTCTCATTGCATATAAATGTTCGTTTGGTGTTTTATTCAAATGCGTACTATTAATAAACCTAAATGTAAACTTTACTTGTTTCTACTCTACTAACCATAGATTTCCACTTAACGTTTTCGAATGGATAGTGTAATTTGAGTAAATGTTCACCATATTACAGGTCCCAGCCATGCTTCTGGGAAAATTAAAATCATTCAATTAAGCAATAGAGCCATTTAATAAAGTTTCAAGTTTCTTTATTTCCTTAAGCCAACTTTCTCATCAGAATAATAAATACATGTTATAAAGAAAAAAATACAGAGAGATGAACGTAAAAATATATACGAGACACGAAAATAGCGGAACAGTTTTACATGGATATTGTTTTTTCTGTTAAGTGGTAGCATTCAAAAATTTGCCCGAATTTATTCAAATGACACGTTCAAACAATACATAACCTGAAAGTACTCATTTCAAAGAACAAAAACATGAAAAAATAATGATAAATAAAATAAATATTTCAAACAAACAATACGAAGCAAAAAGGTGTGAAGTTTAAATATTTTTCAAGTTATGTAGAATTTTGAAATCCTAACACATATAGATATAATATTACTAAGCTTGACAGGATATATTACTATCTTTCTTTAAAATGAAAGAAAAAAATATAATGCCCATACACACAATTGACAGATGCATATCACCCACACGTGACTCTTACAACTGATTTCATTACATGTATTACAATGAATTTATATTTTAATTGCACAGACAAGTGCATCTTTGAATTGAATAAACATAATCAAACTATAAACATGCATGAATGAATGATAGAGGTTGGTTGCTCACTTCATAAAATTTTCTGCTATTAAACGATTGATAATGATTGATATAAATCAAACGTCTGCTATATAATAAAAGTTGCTTAATCGCATTCTACATGGGGAATTATTAAGTTGATCATAAAGCGTACTTTCCAATACTAATCATTTTCATTATTTTCCAAAATAAATCCCTCTTTCATTACACATCATTTTTCTTCATCCAAGAAAAACTGTTGACACCACTACCTCACGTGGCATTCTTGCCTTTTTCTTTTTAATCCACTTGAGTATTAGATCTAGTCGTTCTTTATGATCTGTACTTTTTATCCAGTCATGTATAACTGCTTCCGGTAAGTTATATCGTAATTTATCTGGTAATTCACAGGAATCGGAGAATATAATCAGCACACTGTTTGGAGATATGTTCTCCATCTGAATACACTGAAGAACAGTATCTAGGTGAATGCCTAGAAACGCTTCTTCTTTCAAATATGAAGATGTTACGTAAAAAATCAGGTTTTCACATTGTTTGATAATGTCGCTTTGAATGTCAAATCGAGATTTCCCACTTTTGTTTATATTACATTCTTCGAAAATAAATCCTGTTGCTATATTTTCCTCTCTCAAAGGAAGAACGAGGCTATTGTACACAACTTCTTTATCATTGTCACAAGAAACTACGTAGCATGAGTATTCTTTAAGAAATTCAACAATATTGCTCTCTGACTTGTCTAGTATTGGGCTTCCTAAAGAGACATTCCTTATTGGCTGAATTACACATCGTGTGTAGAAATGCCATATTTTATGTAACACATATGTTAGAGAAATAATTATAAAAAGGAGGATTAAAACTTCAATGATAAGACGCACCACTAGTATCCCTTTATGAGTGTTCTCAAACCATGTATATTTCATGTTGAACTGCTGAATTTTCCGTATGATCTTCTCTTTGTCGGCCTTTGTTGTGTTGTCCATCTTGAGGAAATAAGGCTGATCAGGCAGAACAATCAGAGTGTCGGGATGTTGTACTTCAATATAGATATAAGCTCGGGATTTTTCGTCGTAAATTCGACGTAAATAATCAACTCTGTGAACTCCAAAGAACCTCTCATCTGCGCACCCAAGAAAGTGTGTTTCGTATGTATCTAAACGGTTCAGTAAAATATCCGAAGATGAAGAGAACTCGGGAACAGTAAACCATTTCATTGCCTTTCCATACAAAAAATATAAATACGAAAACGCAGAGCACCTTCCATTTTCTCTTTTTTCTTCTTTCGAGTAAGGGACACCATTAACATAATAATACTGCGTAATGTCACTGCGTTCACTCTTAAAAGACATCGGCCCCCATTCAAGGTTAACAACACTACCCGGTGACGCATATACAAAGAAATTTTCCCCTCTGTATTTTTTTATGCGGTACTGGCCAATGAGATATTCAAAATCCATCATAAATGCACTTGCTTTGTTGTTCTGATAATAGAACGACTCACTGGAAAAATCTTCATAATGAAAGGAACAACTATATTTTCTAAAGTCTGAATTTTTTATGGCATCAAATTGAAGGGTACTTTTCACAAACATCTGATTGCCTAGAACCCTCTGGAAGTCGGTTGTTATTTTGCTTTGACTACTGATCGAAGTTACATTCCTTCCCCTTGAAGTCCAGAAAACGCGTACTGAGCAAGTTCCATTCAAAAGAGCGCTACATGATAGGCTGAAACTTTCTCCTGTACTTATAACATGCACTTCGCGTTGATATGGAGGTATTTGTCCACCTCGATCTTTAAATTGTGTTAGTTGAGGTTTACTTTGATACATGTACTTTTTCTCTCCCGTTTTTAGGAAAAGATTATGATCCAAAGAGAGAAAATTATAGATTAAGTTCATCTTACTTACGTTAAGCTCAGATGAATTTCCTGGTAATTGTTTGTGATCAACATGAGACCATTTTGTTAAGAAATTCCCTCTACTTTCTTTTATGACTTCTAGGAGACCCAGAGAAGTTGAGCAAAGATTGTATATAACGTTAAAAATAATAACAGCATGAACAATTGTGATTAATATATATAAAAGCAATCTCCATAGTTTGTATCTTCGAGCTATTGATATCATGAAAGCACAAATAAAACGCACAACTGATAGAATAATTATATAAAGGTTTTTCCATTGTATTTGCAGCATAACGTCATCCTGTACCTCGTTGTTCATGTTCACATATCTTATAACGACCGGAATTAGACTGACCATACTGTGGTAAATCAAGTGAGGACGGTAACATCCTATCTGAAGTCTTGAAACACGTCTAGCGATAGGGTCCAGTAATAATGAAAATATTATAATGGACAAAAAACTGTATACAGATAATAAATACAATCTGTATGTTCTGTAAGCACGAACGGGTTCTGTTGTTTCTCTATAGAATGAATTTTCATGGGTAATGTCTATATAAGTAGGTTCGTCCAAATAGACATTGAGAGCAATTGGAGACAGGATAATGAAAGATAAATATATCACTCCGTGTAGAAAATCTATCCTCTTCATTTTGTAACTGCAAAGAAAAAAGAGACCTATGGGCCACAATGCTCATCTGAGTCAATATGGCCCTGCTGTTCTTCACAAGCAGAATTTTTCTATATATTCCTACGTAAAAGTTTTATCCCTATTGTGACCCCACCCTATCCCCAGTTGTCACGATTTTTATAGATGTAGCCCTGCCCTACCCCTAAGGGTCACAGCGGGTCATGATTTGAACAAACTTGAATCCAAAATACATTAAGATACTTCCATATCAATATGAATACACATGGCTCTGCTGTTCTTGAAAAGATTTAAGAGACTGAATTTTGTTCCCTACACATCCATATGTTAAACTGTAAACTCTGATAGTGCATTGTCACACCACCTTACCCCAGGGGGGTCAAGATTTAAAAAAAAAAAACAAAAACGAATCTTCACTACCTGAGGATGTTTCCAAATTAATATGATTAAACATGGATTTGCTGTTCTTGTGAAGAAGATTTTTATGCCCCGCCATGAATATGGCCGGGGCATATATAGTGTTTGTCATGTCCGTCTTCCGTCCTTCTGTCCTACCGTCTGTCCTTCCGTCACACTTTGCGTTTAGCTCTGTTCAAAGCTCAGTTTCAAAGAAACTATCCAAGATATTTTTATCAAACTTCATATGCTGATAGATATTGATGAGAGCTATGCAACTGCATCACCATTTTTTGACCTTGACCTTTCATTTGACCTTGACCTCACTTTTCTTAAATCAGAGTATAGCTCAGTTTTAAAGATACCATTCAAGATAGTGTAATCAAACTTCATATGTTGATACATACTGATGTACGCTATTCAACTGCATCAACATATTTTGACCTTGACCTTTCATTTGACTTTGACCTCACTTTTCTTAAATTAGTGTTTAGCTCAGTTTTAAAGATACCATTCAAGAGAGTGTAATCAAAGTTCATATGTTGATACATACTGATGTACGCTATTCAACTGCATCAACATTTTTTGACCTTGATTATTCCTTTGACCTTGACCTCACTTTTCTTAAATTAGTGTTTAGCTCAGTTTTAATGAATTCATGATATTTTTATCATACTTCATATGCTGATACATACTGATGAGAGCTTTTCAACTGCATCAACATTTTTTGACCTTGACCTTTCATTTGACCTTGACCTCACTTTTCTTAAATTAGTGTTTAGCTCAGTTTTAAAGATACCATTCAATACAGTGTTATCAGACTTCACATGTTAATACATACTAATGAGAGCTATTCAACTGCATCAACATTTTTTGACCTTGACCATTCCTTTGACCTTGACCTCACTTTCGACAAATTATTGTCATACTTTATATGCTGATACATACTGATGTAAGTTATTCAACTGCATCAATATTTTTTGACCTTGACCTTTCCTTTGAGCTTGACCTCACTTTTCTTAGATTTGCATTTTGCTTAATTTTAAAGGAACCATTTCAGATATATTTATGTAAGTTTATGCACTTATACATAATTCGGCGAGAATTTATCATCTATATCCAACTTTCTAGATTTCAATTTTAAAGAAACTATTCAAGATATTCTCATCAAATTTCATACACCAATACAAATTTTCATGTTGCATTACTAATATACCCTCGGCGGGGCATTCATGTCCTATGGACATATTTCTAGTTGAAAATGTTTCCTATATATTCCTATATATAAAACTTTGATCCTCCATTGTGGCCCCACTCTACCCCCCAAGGGTCATGATTTGAACAAACTTGAACCTACACTGCTTGAAAATGCTTCCATATTAATATGTTGATTGACTATTCATGGCTTAGCTGTTCTTTAGAAAAAGAGTTTTGAAAATTTTCCTACAAGGCAAAATGAATTATATGTTTGTTTCCTGTAACGTTCCCCAAAAATAAAGGGTCGGTCGATAGAGATTTTATTTTGGCTAATGTAGAATATTTATTCATGTATAATATATGATTTATGTTAAGACATACAAAAGTTTCCAGTTTAAAAGCTTCATTTTTGCTTACTATAAATGAAACATTTTAGCGTTAAACATACCTGGGCTGAAATAGCTTGGTGTGCAACTGTGCATTGGTGACAAATACATGAGAAACCCAAATTGCTGTCTTCAAAACTATCTAAAAAACCCTCGGGAATATCCTATATTAATCAATGATCATTAGTCTTCCTAAAAAGTGAATGTTGAATTAGTTAACATATTTTATACCTCAAATTAACCTATAATTATCTCTTTTATTAACATTTTTGGTTAATATTGCATCAGTCGATTGATCAAACAGCTTTGGACGAAAAAAATCCACCGGGGGTTACTTTGAATCAATGGGTCGGTCGGATTACTGGAAACATGTTTTTTAGGCCTAAATTCTTATGTAACTATTTCATCCTGGATAGACCCACCCTACTCCCAAGGGTCATGATTTGAAAAAAACTTGAATCTACACTATCTGAGGATGCTTCCATATCATTATGATTAAAATTATGGCTTTGCTGTTCTTGAGGAGAAGACTTTTAAGGATTTCTCCCTATGTACATGTATTCCTATGTAAAACTTCTCACTCTACTCCTGGGGGTCATGATATAACCAAACAATGATTCTACACTATCTGAAAATATTTCCACATCATCTGATCATTATGACTAATATTGGCTTTGCTGTAATTGAGAAGAAGATTTTTGAAATCTTTTCTAGATACCGGGGGTATTCCTATGTAAAACATTGATCCCCCATTGTGCCCCCATGCACCCTACTTCCGGGGGTAATGCTTTGAATAAACTTGAATCTACACTACCTGAGGATGTTTCCATACTAATATGATTAATCATGGCTTTGCAGTACTTGAGAAGAAGATTTTAAAAGAGTTTTTCTTAATATTCCTTGGTAAAACTTTGATCCCCCCTTGTGGCCCTATCCTACCCCAGGTGATCATAATTTGAACAAGATTAAATTTACACTATCTTAGGATGTTTAGAAACCAATATGACTAAACATGGCTTTACTGTTCTTGAGCAGAAGATTTTTGAAAGAATGGAGGCGTCAAAAATTGTATTGTCAATATCTTATCTTTTATACATTTGCTTCCTTAATTTTTTTTCCAGTAGCTTAATAATAATTTATTTTTTTACAAATGTTTTTAAAGTATGTGAAAGGGGAAAAAGCTTCACACATGTTTCGAACTCTCTCTCCAAAGCTCATGGCGCGGCGTAAGACTGATCGCGTTAACCACTACGCCACGAAAGCTTGTTGTTAGTAATTTGTGTTAGTGCAATTTATTAATAAACGAAATTGTTGAAGCGTAAAATTTTGTAAGAAATGTTCGATTTTCATATAGAATGGGTTCAGACTTCATTTCTTTAAAAACATAAAATAAATCTTGCAATTACTTTTCGTTCAAATAAACCTTATTGTTATAGCTTTAAAATTTGTCCTTATGTATACATATATACTAAAAAAATCTAACGTTTCCAATGTTTTATCGATAAGATATTGGACCGCTTACGTCACAAACTGGGCGGGATTTGCATTCGTTGATGTTTAACCTCAGTGCTAGTTTAGGAAATTCACATCACGGAATCCAGCACAAAAATAAATGTAAATAAAAGGTATAACAAAACATCAATTTCAATTATACATGTGTTCTCGGACAAAATCCATTTTGTCGACCCCTCGAACCAAACTGTTTGCCTGTAACCTAACAGCCTCAGGCAAACAGTTTCGACAACAGGTCTGACAAAACGCATGTTGCCCTCGAACCAAGTCAATAAATGTATAATTTTTTTACGTAATAGTGTACGGGGGATATACAGTTTTCAATAATTGTCAGTAAAAGTGGGGGGTTGTTTATTGTTAGCTGATCGTTTTCAAAGTTACATGAATTTGCCACGGGAAAGTTTTACATAGGAATATATAGGAAAAAGAAAGCTCTAGGGCGTACAAGACGAGGACCATCCCCCGCTCATCCTCGCAATGCCAGGGGTCCTGAGTTAACACGTTGCCGTGGAACCCTGGACAATTTCATTCAATATTTCATGGGCAATTGGAACATCACTCGGCCTTTTCCGTCAAGTCGAGAAAAAAAAGACTTGACGGAAAAGCCGAGTGATATTTCGATTGATTTCATGGGTTGACTGTAGCAACGTCTTTCAGAAATATTACAAACCTTGATTGTTTTTCTTATAACATTAAAATTGGTAGTGCCTATATTAAACTAACTACTCACCAATAAATATACACTGTATGATAAATATAACGCAGTAGAGGTATATATAAGTTTGCAAAAAAGGAGATTGTATCCTGACAAATACTGAGTGAATTGTTTACTTACAACTTTAGTTTTGCTTTCGTTTTCTTGTATTATATATAGGGAGGCACATACATGACAAAATCCTTTACTAGAAAGTGTTCAGTATACTCACAAACTAAGTGTTCTGCTCAGAAATACTTAGCTTACAAAAAATCTGAAAGGGAAAAACCTCTAATTTTTATACATAAGAGCAATTATATACATCAGTAATGGACATTGAAAAAATATTTTAACAAAGGCCATCATTAAAAATGTCTTTGTTTCCCCTAACCCGACCCTAAAATCTGAAGTTGGGTAGGTAGGCAGGTAAATATTTTTTTTTCCTGACAGCAGCTTTGAAAATACATTCTGATTTTTTGATAAGAATGGGTTTTCATGAAATTGTATTTTATAAAAGTTGATAAACATTAAAAAAAAAAAAATTAAAATAATCTTCTTAAAAAAAACTTTTCAGTCGGCGGGATTTAATTGGGTCGGTCGCGTTAGGGGAAACAAAGGTATTTTTTACTTTGGCCAAATGTCTCTAATTATACGCCGATCTTCAGTATGGCATTTGGCGCGTACAGTTTGTAGAAACAAGGAGCCATACTGTGCTGACAACCCTAATTTGTAATGTTACCCTCAGCATAAGCAACATACTGGACAACAGGTAACACAACGATAATGTCGCTTGCGTTTAAACCTCGTGTAAACGACTGTAAGTTGTGCGTTTGAAAGAAGCCGGCTTAACATGACGTAATTCAAAGCGTGTGTCCGATGTAGCTTGATTGAAAACAACAAACGGCAGCAAAAAATGCTTGCAATTGCAGAAATAACGCTGACGCGTCGGTTGACAATGGTTTTTCATGGTTAATTTCAACTGTTACCCTTCAAAACAGGCACCATTTAACCATTAACACTACATATGTACATACTTTTTCCTAAATTCTGGTTTAAATTGTTGTTCCTTAATTTTAAATCATACTTTAATAGTTCATTTCCTGGTTAGGTACAACTTCGTTTAGAAAACTAATTAAGAATTTCATAGATCTACTGAGAAAATACCGTAACGAAGAGACATGATCAATTTCTATACATACAAACATCAATTAATTTTAAAATACAAAATACATTTATGATGTTTTGTGAGTTTCCTTTTAAATACTGATGAACCTTGTCAGCATGTGTAATGGAAGAGGCATTTTGCGGGGTAACACAAAGAAACGCTGGTTTTGAAACTTTGTGCCACTTTTAGATGTAGAGTGTACATGAAACTTTTCCCGACACTTTAACACTCACTTAATAAAAGAATATCGGGGCATAAATTTCAAATTGGGGGCCAGCAGCTTTCATAAAAGAACTTTAATTTACTCGATCATTCTATTTTATCAATGAAAGTTAGAATTCTAGAAAAGATTTACCACTAATAGCCAGTCACTAAGTACATGGTTCCGTAGACAACGAGAAGAATATTGGATTCGAAAACTAGGCACGTCCTTTACATATATTTACATTTGCAAATGTTTTCTTTTATATAACACTATTAAAAAAGCAACGCGTATCTATATCCGTATAAACACTGATTCCTCGCGTCATAAACGTTCGACGTAATTTCTTAGTGACGTCACAAAGGGTTGACGCGCAATCAATGGATCAAATACTTGCCGTTGAGTTTGAAAAATAAAACATTTCACACGTTGAAACTTATAATCAGGAAAATATAAAATATGAACAAGTCATAAATGTAAATATAAGTAATAATGTATCATTTTTAAACATCTATCGGGATATAAATACGGGTTGGTACGAGATCAATTCGGGCTTTATGGAATTTGATCTCGTGACCAACCCGTATTTATATCCCGATAGATGATTAAAAATGATACATTATTTCTAAAATGGACGCAATGACAATGTCGATAGTGATGGGAATCTTTTCAGTCCACATTGTAGCAATGTGAATTTGAAGGGACTTTTTAACAATGCACTGAGACATTTACAAGCGAAGTCATGGATATTAGTTTTACATTAAACCTATTATACACGATGTCTTCTTTGATTCACTACTACCTTATGTAAATAAACAGAAATAAACAGTTAGGTCTTCATCACATTCGCACCAAAGTTCACTCTGTCCCTTTGAAACATTTAAATAGTCTATTTGAAAAGGTCGAGGAAAGTCCATATTTGGATTCTGTGATCATGGATATTTCAAATAATAGGCTTTTTAAACCGCCACATTTTACGGAAGAAAATAGTGCTTAAACAACCCGTTTTTTCCTTAAACTTTAATATGCAAACAACGGAAGTCACGCAGTTAATATAAGTAATATTCTTATTCACAAAAGCGTCCAGTCTTGTATTTCACCATATTTCAAGTTGAAGACCACGCTTTGTATTTCTTACAAATATACATCAACTATTGCTTCCAAACTTACTATAATTACAAGAAAACTCTACAGAGCCTAGATATCGAACATCGTGTTCATATTTTTCTTCACCCTACGACAACAGTCTTGTCTTTTTTTGAAAAGGGCCAAAATTTAGGGAACCCCGATCTTTCAAAAGTAAATTCTTAAATATTAAGAGTTCTATGGTATATTAGGCAGGCGATGGACCAAACATGAAAAAGACCTTGACACTTTGTCAGAATGGAATAAAAGTATCAGAAGTATATTAAGATCTCGCATAAGGCGACTGAGGGGCAATATGAAAACCATCTATCCTTCTTTGTTCAGTAATTCAGAAGTGAAAAAAGAATTAGATAGATTACAAAATCAGTATGTACTGGTCCCAGCTGACAAAGCAGGTAACAGTAATTCAGAAGTGAAAAAAATTGGATAGATTACACCATCAGTATGTACTGGTCCCAGCTGACAAAGCAGGTAACAACATTGTTTGTAAGGCTCATTATTATACCCGCACTTTCTAAAAGAAAGTTCGGGGTTATATTGTTGCTACCCTGGTCTGTGCGTCCGTCCGTCAATCTTTCTTCTTCCTCAAACTCCTCCTTTATTTTAAGAAATAACCTATTAATCTTTTGGAATATGATAGTTGGTGTCCTGTAGACATGAAATAGGTTTTTGGAATTTTCAACTTTGCCCTCTGGTTCCCAGAACTCCTCTTACATTTTATGCGGTAGACTAATCATCTTTGGGAAGATGAATGGTGATGTCCTGTAGATGTGCAATGAGGTTTACGAATTTTCATTTTTACCCTGGGAGTCAAATGGGGGTCGAAAATGATGTTTTTCTACTATGATCTGGTTCCCAGAACACCTCTTACATTTTACGGAGTAGCCGAATCATCTTTTGGAAGATGATTGGTGGTGTTCTGTAAATGTGCAATAAGGTTTCCGAATTTTCTCCTTGGGTGTCAAATAGGGTCTAAAATGAGGTTTTTATGCAAAAAGCTCATGTTTTACACGAGAAATTAACTCTCTTTTTTTATCGATTTTAATCACACCTCTAGTGTGTTTCTTGTTATTTTAATTAAGATAATGATGATTTAATCCAGCCTAGTCCAATTTTGTACAGGCCCATGTATGGTAATTATAAATTAGTTTCTGAGGGGTATGTTTACCCATCTGAAACAAGTAAGGTGAGGGTCCATGTGAGTAGTTTTTTAACATAATTTAGTTAATTTTTGCATACTAAAAATATGAAGACAGTCATGTATTTTGTGATAGATTTAGGCCTAAATCTCACTAAACACTTGTAGTTTCTTTGTGACTTGGATGAAGGGAAAATGATCATTCACAATAAATTTATTTACAGAATTATGGTATAAACTTGACCATCAACCTAAAAAAACTTGATGTTTGATGCAGGTAGGACCAAGGGGAAAAAATAAAACCTGGACAAGGTTTGTACACAAAGAGTTTTCTGACTTTGACCTTTCATCCATAGAAATTAGAAAGAACATATGCCCTGGACATGTTTTTTATGCAAAGAGATTTTTTGACCATGACATTTCATCTAGAAAATTGGGGTAATGTCACCGCACATTCTCTACCCAAGGGCGCTCAGTAGATATAGTATGAGCCCAACAGACCTCAGGGAAAAGAAAATATGCTCTTGACAAGAATTTTACACAAGTAGGTATTTTTTACCTTGACCTTTGCTTGAAAAAAAATGGTTAAGGATCTTTGAACACTCTCAACTCACTCAACTCATTGCCACTCTGTGGGTAAAATTTGAGTCAGGTAAGGCCAAGGGGAGAGAAGACATACTCTGAGCAAGGTTTTCTTACGCAAAGAGATTTTCTAACCTTGACCTTTCAGAGAGAATCATCTAGAATGGTTTAAGTTCTCTGTATACCCTCTGCCCAAGGACACTCATGAAGTTAAGCCAACTGAGTAAAGGGGAGAGAAAATTTGCTTTAAACAAGGATTTTACAAGTAGTTTTTTCACCTTGACCTTTGCTTGGAAAATTGGTTCAAGGGCCCTGCTCACCCCTCTACTCATGAGTGAAGTTTGGGCCAGGTAGGGTCAAGAGGAGAAAAAATATACACGAGACAAAAAAAATTTATGATCAAGATTTTTAAAAGGGTGGGGCTGACTACAAACAACTAAATTGTTCCTGACAAAAATTCAAGAATACATATTTTAAGAATGAAATGTATGGAGATAAAAACAGAACAGTATTCAATCTCAAAAGTCCATCAAACAATACAGATTTTGGAGCAGAGCAAACACAGACCTCTAAAATATCAGAGGTGGGATCAGGTGCCATGGAGGAGTAAGCATCCCCTGTCGACCGGTCACACCCGCCGTGAGCTCCTTCTCATGAAATAACGAGAAAAAACCGTCGACAATTCAGTGTGTTAAAAATGGCCTAACAATAAGTATGAAAAACGTCAGTCAGCATTTGACTTAATGATAAATTGTATTTGCTGACAAGGTCATTGTATCGACCAAAGAACTTACGAAATGACGACTTTAAACGAGACTGCCTGTATTCTTGTTTCATTAACTTGTGTGCCAGTAACTTACCTCGTTTTAGAAATTGTTCATACGTAGAGCATGCTCTTGCGTATCGAATCACCTGAGAGATATAAACCCCGTATGCAGTTGATGAAGGTATATTGCTGTAAAAGTAAGAGAAGTTGATGATTGTGAAGTTAAAGTCATCACGTTTATCATGAAGCTTGGTTGTTAGATTACCATTTACGTCTTTTTCTAGTAAAATATCCAAATATGAAACAGATGTGTCAGACTTTGTGGTATCTTTTATTTCAAGCTCACTCGGATGATATATCTTATCGACATAATAATTGAAATAACCATTGTTAATTGACAATACGTCGTCGATATATCTAAATGTCGAGTTGAAGGGCACAGCAAGTGTTTTTTCTTTTTTTCACGTATAAGATTTTGAACAAATTCTGCTTCATATCAATACAAAAATAGGTCTGCTTATAATAGGGCGCAATTGGTACCCATGGAAATTCCAATAGATTGTTGGAAGACCTGGTCTCCAAAAACCACATAGATATTGTCAATCAGAAACTCAAGCATCTTTTTAATATCAGCTTCAGAGTACTTGTGTGTAAAATCACAATGTTGTTTTCACAAAATAATTTTGCAAATAACTAATGACAAGGTAAGTAAATTTACGAGTTCCATTTTTATTGAAAAAGCAGTTGTCAATGATATCAAAAAGCCTGGACTTTAATTTATCGCGGGGAATGGTAGTATATAAAGTTGAAAAGACGTATGTTTTTATGTTGTTGATTTTGGTAAAATTTTGTGGTTTCAAATTTTCCAAAAGTTCCTTGGAATTTTTAAGTATCCACATGTGATTTACACCACTTCTTGAATATATTGTTGCACAGTACTCCCGAAGTTTCTCCTTCACTACTGTTAATATTTTAGTGAGGAGTAAAGAAAGAGGCTTGGTAGAACATTTACTGGAACCCGCTATGTATCTAAGTACTAGGGTATTCTCAAAATTAAAGTAGTTTGAAACTTTATTTGAATGTATTTTCCCCATTTAAGTAAGCAAAAGTACAGCTGGTAATTTATATTAATCAAGAAAATTATGTATTTGAAACTTGTCATTAAATATGTCAATAATTTGAGAAAATAAACATTACAAAAATATTGTAAGGAATTTAATAGCTACCAAAATCATTGGTTTCAATCATTTTTGAGGTATTTTGACAATTTCCAGTTTTAGGGGGGCCGGGTTGATGTGTCGTGACACAGAGACGCAAACAAGACTGGATTGTATATATTTGTATATATTGTATTTCTAATTGGTTTTTGGTAAAGCTTCTATGGTCGATACAATGACCTTGTCAGCAAATACAATTTATCATTGAGTCATATGCTGACTGGCGTTTTTCATACTAGTTGTTAGGCCATTATTTACACACTGAATTGTCGACGGATTTTTCCGTTATTTCCCGATTATGACAAGGAGCACACGGCGGGTGTGACCGGTCGGCAGGGAATGCTTACTCCTCCATGGCACCTGATCCCACCTCTGATGTTTGGAGGTCCGTGTTTGCTCTGCTCCTATTTTGTATTGTTTAATGGACTTATGAGCTTGAATACTGTTCGTTATCTCAATATATTTCATTTCAACTGTTTTTGAGATATTTGGCCATTTTCAATTTGGGGGTTTGACCTTCAGGGGCCATGGCATGTATTATGTTTCATGTGTCATGCCACGAAGAACAAGATTATATATGGTTAAGAGTAAAGCTTAAATATTTTTGAGATATTAGACCATTTCCAGTTTCAGCAGGTGGGAATGACCTCCAGGGGTCATGACTTATGCACCATATTATGTGACATGACACCAGATTATATATCTGGTTTAGGAATTTCATTTGAAGTTCATACCTGTATTCAGTCTAACATGCAGAGTTATTGTTCTTTCCTCTCTCATACAGTGAATGTATGACCTGTACCTGATGGCAGAGCATGACTTTCTGTTGTCAGCTAGTCAGTCCGTAAATCCATTTTAATCCATTCAAAACATGATACGTTTCTAATTAACACCACAAAATAGCTTACCAATTTGAAATAATTCCATCATGAACACCACGTGCAAATCAAAGATCATTGTAAAATAGTACCACTGCTGTTATTAGGGAAGGGTGCTTTAACTTTGGGAGGTTGCGAAAACGTCATCTACAAATTAGCCAAAGAGGGTAGTCGAGGCAGGAAAACAAAGGAATTTGGAATGTGTATTTGGGCGAAGTCAATTTGGGGTCACACAGGTTGGTTTAGAAAGTAACCCCCCAATTATATACCGATTTTTTTTCAAAAGCTGTATTGGCATCTAAAATTTCAATTTTATCAAAATTGTCACATACTAAAGTTTTATTTTCTGTATTGCAACAAACTGAATAGAGTTATCAACTTCAAACATAAACTATTTTTTTTACAGAAAAAACAAAAACCTTTCTTAAAGAGAACTCTTAAACAGACTTGGAAATTTAAAGAATTTATTATTATTGAAATACAGTGTTCTAACACAAGAGGCCTATCGGCCACATGCTCACCTGTGCATTTTTCCCTCAATTTAAAGTATGAATATACCGGGTATTTTATGTAGGTAAAAAATATAGAATAACTATTGTGTGTTCTTCATTACTCAGGTGAGGGTGAGAGTTTAGAAGCAAACACTTATGTGCGGGTATTTCTGTCTTATGACAGCATCTAGTTTTAATTGCATTTTCGAGGAAATGGGGTTGAATTCTACAAGTGGTAATCCAACTTATACCAAAAGCTCCCTTTCTAATGAGGAAATTCTTTAAAATCATATCAGTTTTGAATATTTTTAATATTCCCTACAATCAAAATGAATTTGAATTACCATACCTTTACTGGATTCCTCAATTTCATAAAAAAATCTTACACATAAAGATACATAGCAGATTCCAGTAAATGTTCTACCAAGCCCTTTTCTTTTCTCCTCACTAAAATATTAACAGCAATAAAGGAGAAACGTCAAGAGTGCTGTACAACGATATGTTCGAAAAGTTGTGTAAATCAGATGTTGCTTCTTAATATTTAGAAAGAACTTTTGGAAAAATTGAAACCACAAAATTTTACCAAAATCAATAACATCAAAACTTAAGTCATTTTAACTCTATATACAATCATTCCCAACGATAAATTGAAGAGGAGGCTTTTTGACATCATAAACAGCTGCTTTTTCAATAAAAATGTAACTCGTAAATTTACTTACCTTGTCATTGGTCATTTGCAATTTTTTTTCCCTAAAAAAACACATTTTGATCGTCCAAACAAGTACTCTGAAGTTTATATTGAAGAGAGGTTTGAGTTTCTGATTTATATATATGTGTGTGTGTGGGTGGGTGGGTGTTTTGGAGATCAGGTATTACAAAAATCTGCCGGAATTCCCATCAATTGCGCCCCGTTATTAGCAGCCCTATTTTTGTATTCATATGAAGCAGAATTTATTCAAAATCCTATACATGAGGAGAAGAAAACACTTGCTGTGACCTAAAACTCGACATTTAGATATTTTGACGACGTATTATCAATTAATAGTAGTTACTTCAATTCATATGTCGACACTATATATTCAGTGAGCTTGAAATAAAAGCTACCATATATTTCATATTTGGCGTTAATGGTATCCTAACAACAAAGCTTTATGATAAATGTGATGACTTCAACTTTTCATTTGTCAACTTCCTTTACCTATGTAGCAAAATACCCTAATCACCAGCATATGAAGTTTAGCATTACGGTGACATTTTTGCGCTTTTCTTCACTGAAAACAGATCGTGCACCATGCTGAGGTGTACATCGTTTTGAATGCTATGGTTGATGGTGAATTCGATGATGTCAATGATAATAATGATGTTTATGTAGACGATGTCGATAATAATGACGTCGATGATGCCTACGAAGTAGCTGGAATCGTTGTTATTGGTGGCACTGATCCCCAGTACCAGTCCAGAACTGCAGCCCCTAGGTCTAGGGGGTAGTGTGGTGCTATTGAAAGAGCACTTTCGTATAGATATAGGTATCTTTGTTATTGGCAACCCACTACTGATTTGAAAGAAATATTTAAATTTACGTTGATCTACATGTATCACTTCAATATTTAAATGTTTTTTTTTAATTATTATAGACAATTCAGAAATGAAAGAACATCAGATTCAATTTCCAAAAAATATGACAACATAAAACAAAGAGGTAAATACTGTATTGACTATTCAACATTTAAGTCGATGATTTTGAGAGAAATAAAATTTTAAAAAAACTATTTAACACGCTTTCTCTGTAAGCACCAAAAAATCTTGGAAACGACATGTCTCGGATTTTGATGAAATTTGCACCGCAGTTGTGTCTTGGATCAAAACTAGTAAATATGGTGTCGGAAGTTCCACACGTGCACTCGGTTGTCATGGAGACGGATCCATTGAATTTGGCCATTTTTGACCCTTTTTGAACAAGTGAAAACATGAAAATTGAGGAAATGTAAACGAATATTTTTCGCAATCTAATACACTCTAACAAAAGTCATTGGATCATATGATAACATGAACTTATAAGGTACACAGGGCATATAATCATTTATTCTAAAAATATTCCCACTCTAAGAAAAAGGTCATGCAAACTGACATGGTTTCTGAAAATTTGAAAAATGAGAAAATTAGTATTTTTTAAGATCTTAAAGGCTATATAAGAAAAATTGTCCGTGGGAAATTTCCAAAACATATATGTGATTTTATACTTGAGAATACGAAGTGTCATCTCATGAAAAAATATCGGTGGGCTTTTAATTCTATTTTTAGTAACATGTATCTATAAATAGAAAGATTTTAGAAAAAAAGTAAAAAATCAAATTTTGGCAAAGTTTTAGGTGTCATTGCTGGATAAATAGGACGCATATTGTAAATTTTAAGGTATTAATGACAGCAGCTGGACACCCCTAGCTGGAGTGGACAATGGTTGAGGGGTATTCCCATTTCTATTTATAGTATCAAGCACCTAAATATAGATATGTCTCTGAATATTAGGAAAAATGACAGTTTTATGCTAATTGGAAGCTTCATAGAAAAAGTATTAACAAATATAAAGCTCTCTATAATATGCCCTCATAAAGAACAAGTGTTTGTACAATAATTGATACAATATTGAGGGTCGACTCTTGTTTCCTATTATAGCAACAATGGTCTAAAAATAGATTCCTCGAATAATCGAGAAAATGTAGATTCTTGCACTTTCTCAGGTAATGTCGGATGGAAAAAAATGCAGATTAATTGTTATAAACATAGTGTGACTGACAAGTACTGGAAACCATTTTACTGAAATACACACTATCTGAAGGGGGTTCCCTTTTCTATTTATAGCACCAAACACCCATAAATAGAAACATCTCAGCATATGAGGAAAAATGACAATTTTCCACCAGTTGTAAGCTTCATTGAAAAAAGTATTTACAAAATATACTGCTGCTACAATATGTCATGAACAAGAACATTTGAGCAATTAATGATTAAAAAGTATTGAAGATGGACTATCTTTTCTTTTTATAGCAACAGTTGTCTAAAAATAGATGCAGTGAGTTATTTAGAAAATATACATTCTTGCACTATTTTAGACATTATGGATTGAAAATTTGAATACTCTCTATCATGAACATAATGTGACTGACAAGTACTAGAAACCAATGACTGAAATGCAAAATGTTTCAAGGGGATTCCCATTTCTATTTATAGCACAAAAATAAAAACTATGATACGTCTTTTCTTGCCTCAGAGTTCCTTGCAGACACGAAAACCGTCGTTTAAGAATACCAAAACTCTGTTCGATGAGCACTCTCGTTCGGCATAAGGAGGCGTTGAATCTTTGTTGTGCATCGGTTTGGGGGTTAAGGTATGGTGTCATCAAAAACCGCCTGCAGGGGTATCCAGAATCACCCAGTAAAAATCCATTATGTTCACCTGCACGTGAAATTTTTTTTTTAATTACTTACAGCGCTAATTCAAAATGCTTGTTTTCGGATTTTTTACATGTTGAAAACTATCATTAAAACAACGAACAAAAAAATGTTTTTAAACCTCTCTCAAATTGTTGGCAAAGTGCAGATTCCCGCCAGATCCGACTGTCGTGTACGCTGCCAGGCCAGTTGGCACAAATGCTTGTAAAGCGGAACTTGGCATCACAAACCATCTAATCATAGCAAATAAATAAATAAAAAAAAGTAAGCATAAAAAGAGGACGGGGGCTGGGTCGAAGTATTGTCAGCCCCAACTTAGTTGCAATTCAAGGCCTTTTACAAGCAAAAAGGCCATAGCATACAGATATTCCAGACTTTGGGATGTATTTTTAGTATTCAAACCATGACTATAACTATAACGAAGGGGGCACTTTTCACTTTAAGTTATAATTGAGAATTAAATGTCCCAAAAATAAAATTATCGCTTAATTAATTAATTAATCTTAAAAATACTGACCTGTACATTCAGCGAGTGATAGCCTTTTCTGTTAACGAAATCCTGTTCATTATTAGAGGGAGTCATAATTCTAACGAAAGTGCCATCTACACACCCAAGGGCATTTGGGAAACCTATATATAGAAAAAAAAATATTAATAATAAATATTCTTCATCAGTTGTCATTGCAATTTTACTATCATTGGTCAAATAAAATACAAATAGTATCGATAAGCATTAGAAATATAATATATAATAATATATGATATATTTATGCAAGCTATTTCAAAAATATCCACATACAAATTCTTAACTTTGTTCCAATATTTTTCTAATTAACTGATTTTTAATTTGACAGACACCCCCCCCCCCTCCCCCCACACACACCCCTCCCGCAAAAGAGGACAGAAAAGAGAACAAAAATATAACTTTTTTTCTTATGACTGTCAGATGCAAAAAAAAATGGTTTTAATACAACTCAGGCGCGTAGCCAGAATAGAAATGATGTGTACGCAGAGAACGGCAGGGGGTTGGGTGGGGTGTGTGAGTCTTGACCCCCCCCCCCCCCAGTGTTTAAGGGCTCTGGTCAGGCACGTTATGTAGCTTTTGCCAGCCAGGAAAAAATTACAACTTTAAAAATTTTGTCAAGCAAGGACGAAAAAGGAAGATTGTCAAAATTCGAAGTCCTATTTCTTGTGTGTGTGTGTTTGTTGAAGGGGGGAGGGGTGTCCATCTTTCACAAACCAATTTTTTATTAATACATTACCAAATTACCATGATTTAACAATGGTGCAACAAACAGTGGGGGTCCACCCTTTGAATGTACATTTCTTCAATAGTAAAAGGTTACGTTTTGGGAAAAAATAGTGGGGAGGCTCCCCTGATATTACGTGCCTGCTGGTGAGGGCCCAGAAGCTCCGGAGTTTTACCAAATATTTCATTCATTTTCTTGAAATATAAAAATTATGCCATTTAGTTTTTGTTTAGGAAATAAAAGACATAGTTATATTCATTGTTTTAACGAAAATTAATATTCCATGGAAACTCATTGTACATATAATTGAGGCTAAAATTTAACCAATTAACTGGTATATAATCATTCTTAACGTTTAAAAACACGTATACAAAATTTTAATTATGAACAAAACAAAAATATCGTATTTTAAATCATACTAGTAGATCATAGCATTCAACGATGTGGCTGAAATCTATTTTTTTCAAAAATCTTTAAAAAAATATCAATGTATGATAGAACAATGACAAAATAATGAATGATTAAATAAAGGATTTCAAATTTTATCATACAGCCATGATAATTTAAAATTTAAATCGACACAGTATGACACAGAATAATTTGAAACACGAATATTTGTTGGATGGTATTGAGATTTTTTTCTCCGAATAATTCTCTCTTTTTTCTTATCTTTTTTTTCTGAAAATGATGTGTACGCACTTGCGTATTTGCGTATAGGCAGCTACGCGCCTGCAACTGTGTCGTTTATATAGAACACATTCAAGTATGAGTTTATTTCTTGTTGATGACATTAGCATTAACTTTTCTTGATCTTTGCTAAGGATATGGACATCATGCTGGGTATAAATTTTCTTGATTCTGCGCATAAAAATTAATTGGCTCATGTCGGACAATCTTTTTAGGAAAACTAACACTTGTAAACAAGCATATTTTTTAAAGGGGGGTCAACCGAATAATACTCTGCATGATATAGACGACGATTCCGGAGTACGAGTTACTCATTGTGGATTCTAAAAAAGAAAGTAGAAAAGAAAAACAAGCAGAAGTAACGAACATACCAGCTATTTTGATGAATTCTTGTTTTGTTTGCCTTGCCTTGTCATCTCTGGGGAAGCTGATAAAGTGCCATCGAATACCAAGGATTGCATCTGTCACAGAACGACAGCATCTCCCAACAGTGGACTCAGATACATGCATACTGTCGCCTATAAGCTTGTGGTATGCCCCAGTGGCAAAAAATCTTAGGCATGCAAGGAGCTGCAACAGCGGGGGTAAGGCATTGTTTTTGGTACTTTGGAGCAGATTTCTGCCGATCATATCTAGCAAAGGGTGCAAAACACAGTTTTATGTATGACGTTATCATGACGTTACTAAATGAGAGACATGCTAAAGTGACCCCCATAAAGAAATAATATGAAGACTAGCTACATAGACATCTATATATCAATAGAAAGATAAAATGGTGAATTTTATAGATATATAAACATATTGCATTTATCACTTACTAATAAGGTGTATTTGACACATGAAACATGGGGGAAATAGGGAAGTTTATGCGTCTAATTGTAGTACACCTATGCATTTTTAGCTCCCTTGATCACAAACAGCGCAGAAATCAGAAAATATAAGTGCTGTGCATTTAACAGAGCAAGTCCTTAGGTTTCTTTTTGTTGTACTTTTAGGGTACATTTTCCAGCTTTTTAAAGAGCTACTTTACCTGCTACTCAAATCATGCAATTCTGCACATGTGAAAAATGGGTGTTTTTAGAGTTATCTCCCACTATTAAAAAGTCACACAAAAAATAATTCTCAAAAAATATTTGTATACTTTTTTCATTTAATCTTAAGATAAGACTCTACTTTATGCAAATAAAAATAAAAAAAGCTGCAATTTTCATGTACACTGCATAAAAATAGCAGGGAAATCCCTACCCATCATGCTTTTCTCTGAGGAAAATCCCCTGGATTTTATACGAAACTGTGTTTAGCTACCTTAAAGGAAATAAAAAATTTCTGTATTTCACTTTCTGGTATCTAGATGCAAGGAGGACAAAATTCCAAACTGTTTGGTGTATACAAAGTTAAATTTGGACCACAAATAGCCAAGAAATTGTCAATTTAGTATTACATGTCTTTGACATTGGTCGACTCCTTAAACAGGACTTTGGAGATAAATTTCAAAACTGTGACTAGCAGCTTACAAATTTTACTTTATTTTATACAATGAACATGACCGAGGAAGTTGAGTATTTGAATATTAATGACATGTTAAAATATAAATTAAAAAGGCATCCGAAAAAATACAATTTTTTATATTTTACACAAATTTCTGGTTGCAGTATGAACCAAAAGAAAAGGGGGTGGGGGGTACGTCACAGTGTTAAATTGAGAGATTGCCTTAGAATACCAGACTGTGTCAACATAGCAAAATATTCATCATGAAATGTGATATAGATGCATATATCCCTTGATATTCAAGGTCACGACCTCATGAAGCTTCCTTTTTGACATGACGTCATGCTTTGATGTCACAATGCAAATTCATCATAATGCACAATAATACATCACAATCCGTCTCGTCATAATATACCATGTAACAAAGCTAAAAACATGTACCTTATGCATTATACAAGATTAAATGTCAGCATGAAGCTTTAATGCATGGTTTCGTACATTAAGTAAAGCTAAGATAGCAATATTCTCTGACCTACAGACAGATAAATGAAGGAAAACGTCATTTAGTGTCACTCCTTAAGGGTGCAAAACACAGTTTTATGTATGACGTTATCATGACGTTACTAAATGAGAGACATGCTAAAGTGACCCCCATAAAGAAATAATATGAAGACTAGCTACATAGACATCTATATATCAATAGAAAGATAAAATGGTGAATTTTATAGATATATAAACATATTGCATTTATCACTTACTAATAAGGTGTATTTGACACATGAAACATGGGGGAAATAGGGAAGTTTATGCGTCTAATTGTAGTACACCTATGCATTTTTAGCTCCCTTGATCACAAACAGCGCAGAAATCAGAAAATATAAGTGCTGTGCATTTAACAGAGCAAGTCCTTAGGTTTCTTTTTGTTGTACTTTTAGGGTACATTTTCCAGCTTTTTAAAGAGCTACTTTACCTGCTACTCAAATCATGCAATTCTGCACATGTGAAAAATGGGTGTTTTTAGAGTTATCTCCCACTATTAAAAAGTCACACAAAAAATAATTCTCAAAAAATATTTGTATACTTTTTTCATTTAATCTTAAGATAAGACTCTACTTTATGCAAATAAAAATAAAAAAAGCTGCAATTTTCATGTACACTGCATAAAAATAGCAGGGAAATCCCTACCCATCATGCTTTTCTCTGAGGAAAATCCCCTGGATTTTATACGAAACTGTGTTTAGCTACCTTAAAGGAAATAAAAAATTTCTGTATTTCACTTTCTGGTATCTAGATGCAAGGAGGACAAAATTCCAAACTGTTTGGTGTATACAAAGTTAAATTTGGACCACAAATAGCCAAGAAATTGTCAATTTAGTATTACATGTCTTTGACATTGGTCGACTCCTTAAACAGGACTTTGGAGATAAATTTCAAAACTGTGACTAGCAGCTTACAAATTTTACTTTATTTTATACAATGAACATGACCGAGGAAGTTGAGTATTTGAATATTAATGACATGTTAAAATATAAATTAAAAAGGCATCCGAAAAAATACAATTTTTTATATTTTACACAAATTTCTGGTTGCAGTATGAACCAAAAGAAAAGGGGGTGGGGGGTACGTCACAGTGTTAAATTGAGAGATTGCCTTAGAATACCAGACTGTGTCAACATAGCAAAATATTCATCATGAAATGTGATATAGATGCATATATCCCTTGATATTCAAGGTCACGACCTCATGAAGCTTCCTTTTTGACATGACGTCATGCTTTGATGTCACAATGCAAATTCATCATAATGCACAATAATACATCACAATCCGTCTCGTCATAATATACCATGTAACAAAGCTAAAAACATGTACCTTATGCATTATACAAGATTAAATGTCAGCATGAAGCTTTAATGCATGGTTTCGTACATTAAATAAAGCTAAGATAGCAATATTCTCTGACCTACAGACAGATAAATGAAGGAAAACGTCATTTAGTGTCACTCCTTAAGGGTGCAAAACACAGTTTTATGTATGACGTTATCATGACGTTACTAAATGAGAGACATGCTAAAGTGACCCCCATAAAGAAATAATATGAAGACTAGCTACATAGACATCTATATATCAATAGAAAGATAAAATGGTGAATTTTATAGATATATAAACATATTGCATTTATCACTTACTAATAAGGTGTATTTGACACATGAAACATGGGGGAAATAGGGAAGTTTATGCGTCTAATTGTAGTACACCTATGCATTTTTAGCTCCCTTGATCACAAACAGCGCAGAAATCAGAAAATATAAGTGCTGTGCATTTAACAGAGCAAGTCCTTAGGTTTCTTTTTGTTGTACTTTTAGGGTACATTTTCCAGCTTTTTAAAGAGCTACTTTACCTGCTACTCAAATCATGCAATTCTGCACATGTGAAAAATGGGTGTTTTTAGAGTTATCTCCCACTATTAAAAAGTCACACAAAAAATAATTCTCAAAAAATATTTGTATACTTTTTTCATTTAATCTTAAGATAAGACTCTACTTTATGCAAATAAAAATAAAAAAAGCTGCAATTTTCATGTACACTGCATAAAAATAGCAGGGAAATCCCTACCCATCATGCTTTTCTCTGAGGAAAATCCCCTGGATTTTATACGAAACTGTGTTTAGCTACCAAATAGAGAACTGTTGCCCGACGAAACCGATATCTTTCGAAAATCTCGTCGTCATTATACATCTCTAAGGGATTAAGGCGGTCACGGATGACTCTTTTTGAGGGCCTATTTCGAAGCAAGTTGTATCTCCGGCGTCTTCGTCTTCGTTCCGCCATATTTAATTTGCTTGAGTGTAGGTTTAAGGTAGAGTCTAAGTTACACTTAATTATTTGAGTATTTCCGGCCTCAAGATTGTCACTTGAGGAAAACTCAAATTTATGTGGTGATGGTGACTTGAGGATGAGGTGAGTGATTTGAGGGAAAAACTCAGACTTGAGGCTGAGTTTTGACTTGAGGAAAGTTGGTGACGGCGGGGCCCGTGTTACAGCGATTTGAAAATCATAACATTTTTTGATGTGATCATTTGAGCGAATGTGCGTGTGTGTTCGTGTTTGGTTATCTTTTTTCTGTTTGTCCTTTTGTAAACAAATTCTTGTTTTTCCCCCTTGAAAAAAGTCTTACTTTTGATTTGAAAAGGAAGCCCAGCTCATCCACGTTACACTTATGTCTTGATAAATGTCAATTATGAATGAGACAATACATAAATGCCCTATAGTAGTAATGCTAACCTTAGATAACATTAGATATGCGTTCATTTTTCCATTCAGTATACTTGTATCCTGATTTTAATGTTGTGGTTCATGTCACTTTCAAGCTTCCAAAATATTTCAATGTAGTGTACTGGATTGGTTTAGATTCTTGTATTATTGTCAAAATTATATTCCATAGTAACTCCTTCTGTATTAAGATGTATTTCGGATTTAACTTAAATTTCTACAAAAATCAAATATATGAAAATGTTAAGCAGATTGATGAATTATTCAATTTATGCATTGCACACGGACAAGATGTCACTGACCGTGATGTAATAGACGAAAGTGATATTTGAGATATTATTTGTTTTTCCTAAAATTATGTTACATTTAAGAAGCCTAATCTATATAATGCTCATTTCAACGAAAGAACTGGACAGCAGAAAACATGGAGAATGAAATATAGTTATAAACATCAAAGAAACTGCATAAAGGTATTATCATAAATCGTCTTTATCGGGTGTTCGGAGATCTTGTACAAATACCTTTCTCCCCGTAATATAAAACATTTATTCTTTATATCAAGTTTCACTCGATTTTTGAAATTTACAATGCAAAAAAGATTACAGACGGGTTAAAACGGTCACATCTTATTACTTTTTTCAAGATGGAAAGGGGTGTTAAAATAAATTACTATTACCCATTTTTGCTTCGAATTTTGTTCAGGGGTATCAAACATCATATTCACAATCTACCGTCTAAAATATGAGTTGTTTTTCAGAAAGAACTGTCTCGTTTATATTCATTTATTTTTCATTTTCCTACACTGAGAATGAATTTGCTTCCATTAAGAAGTGATTATATAATCTAATTTTTCATCCCATAAATCGACGCGTTACAACCAAAAAAAAAGAAAATTACTCGTAACCTTTTATTTACTTAAGATGGAATGTCCCGTCAATTTTTTTTTCAAAGATCAATAAAAATATACATCAAAATCATAACTAATAACCTAACAGGTGAGAATATAGTAAGTTGCTTAATGCTATAAAAATTTCAAACTATTTTGTTAAAATAACGTAGTTATGCATTTGAGTGAAAATTTTGTTCATGTATATCAAATAATGTTGTGTTACAAAACATCTGTTTAATGTTAAAATAATGTAGTTATACATTTATGTGAAAATTTTGTTCATGTATATCAAGTAATATTTCATAACGTTGTGTTAAGATTTAACAAAACATCTGCTTTATCATTGATTAAAATTTAAAAATCATGAACGACAAATTCGATTGTATTTTAAAGAAAGTTTAATTATTGCATCCAAATAGGCACACTGCTTTCAAATTCTTGTTTAAACATGCATTTTCAAATCTCTCTACTGCGCAGAAGCGGCACAGCAGGCAATATACCCCTCTCACACTTCACATTTGACATTTCCATCTCAAAATGAACGAAGCTTTTTCTATCGTAGGACTTGTAATATTATTATTGGAGGTAAGTATTCATGTTAATAAAAGACATTAAAAATTATATTTAAATGAATCAAAATTAAAATAAACGCTGTTGAAAAACAAACCATGATTGCCATTATCTAGACTACTTTGATGTATCCCTAATACAGATTTTCTATGAGTCTTAATCTAAAATTTTAACTCATAGGAAACTGCAAAATTAATCATAGAAAGTCTAAGACTTGATGTCTCAACACCTCTCTTGGCACAGCAGTACTTTGTTAACAAATTATAAATGCTATACCAGGTCACCTTTAGAAATTTGATATTTTGTTTTTGCATCTACGGACCCAGTATTTTGTTTATTGAAATATGATTTTTACAAGAGAAAAATCTATAATGCATATTATTGACAGGTTTCACTTGAATCAAGTACATGTAGTTCTTTCGAAGGGGGAAAAAGAAGTAAAAAAAAAAAGTCAAAACCAAAAAATAAATAAATTATTTAATCAAAAAAATGAAAAACATTGTTTTTGGAAGGCAATCTGAATAAAATATTAAAATCAGATCTTTGCTACGCACCGAAATTCTGATACAGAATTCAGAATTTCGGAGCGATACAAAGATCTGATTTTAATCAGATTGTCTTGCAAGGCGTAGCATAAGTATTCTCCCAAGAACCGATCGGAGTAATATTGAATTTGAAAGGAGAGAGTAAATAATCTTTATTTTGCAAAATGTATTTATTTATTTGTTTTTTTTTAATTTCTAGTTCCATGATAACGACAGCTATTTTGTATATTTAATTCCAGAGACTTGGAGACCAAATATACATCAATATTATTTAAATTAAAAATTTGTCCAACTGATAAAATTGTAACAACCCCCCCCCCCCCCCGAAACCAATTTGACCAGATTAAAAAAAACTTTCATGCTTCAAAAGAATTGGTTGAACATTTCCTAAAAAAAAAATTAGATTTAGAATTATTAATTTTCATGCTTTAAATGTTTCAATGGAACTGGTCGCAATTTTGGAAAAAAATTAATGTTAAACAAGACTTATTTACATGTATTGTAATTGTTGTTTAGTGTCATTTAGATTGTCTAGAGCATCTGTTAGAATATTACAGAAGGAAAACTTGTTTTAATGTGTTACCCCTTTTACTGAAGGGAAAATTGGCTCTGCAGGAAATCGCACTCTATATCACTTACACAGAATAGCCCTCTCTCCCCGAAAAAATAAATCATTAAATCTGATGTGAGATTTCCATAGAGAAAATCCTTCTCTCAGTAATTTTACCGCGGGGTAAAATCCTAATAGATTCTAGAGCCTGTTTTCCGGGGGGGGGGGGGGGATCCTACTCTAGAGCCAGTTTTGGGGGGATTTCAGAGGGGAAAGCCTACTTTACAAGACCGATGTTTTAGAATAGGATTTCCCCATGGCCACCTTTCCCCCTTGGAAACTGTACTCTATAGTAGGATTTCCCTTCAGGGGGAATCTGACATGGCAGCCCAAATTTTCACTTTTTCTTTCACAGAGAAAGATTTCCTCCTCGTTAAATGTCGATATAAACCACAAGAGATATAGACAAATATTCGATCAAAATTCAAATGAATTATTTCTTAGATTCGTTTGATTATAAAGATATTTGCATAATCTTTTTTTTCCAATACTGAACGGTTTGTTGTTGAAAATAATTGTTTAAATTTCTCTGTATGTGGCCTGTATGTGAGATTATCAGATACATATTCTAACTTAGCTTCCTTTTTGTGTGCATTCTGACCATAATGAAATTTGTCACCAATTTCTCTAGGAATACCATTCCATCTCCCAGTTTCAAAAAGGAAATTTAATCAAAACTGTTACATGTTAATTAACACAGTAAAGTTGAAAATTTTCGAGGGAAAATAACACGTTATTATTCTGGTTCTAGTATTTCTTTATGAATTCGACAATTGTTAACATAAGATTGATTATAAATATTACTTTTCCAATTCTGAATAGTTCGATCAACGAGTTTTTCGTTTTACTTCATTTTTAACCCATGATAAATTATGCATCAGTTGACTCGTCCATCAATTCATGTTGCTTATTTCCTGTTTTTTTTTGTTTTTTTGTTGTTGATATTTTGATTAAAAGATCCTGATTTGGATTAATACCTTCATAAATATTTATAGCTATTACGGACATTTAATTAAAAACCATTAAAAGTAAAATGTAGATTGTTTGTGCTAAGCGACCTTTACCCAAAAATCATAATTTCTGTCTTGTCAACATTAACTCTTATGCAGCATTTCATACAGTAGTTATACATAAGATTGACACAGACACTTCTCTTGAAGCATCAAAGTCTTATTTTTGCATCTGGTAATGCTGGTTCTGAAAAAAAATGGCACTATGTTATCGGTTGGACAAATTGCTAACTGTAGCCATGGGAAAAAAAATTTCAGATGGATTTTTTTCTCCAAGTCTATTTCAAACTATGTATACGTAATATTGATGTGTATAAATACGTGTCTCTCGAAGTTTCTGGGTTTTGATATCAAGACAGTTACCGTTGCCATATGGAACTAAAAATGGTTCGATATTTCTTGAAAATTTTTGCAAAACACTAAAAGAGTATTTGTTCTCTGCATTCAAATTTCAAATCCAATAATACACAGTTGGGATCGAGAACACATAACTATGCTACGGCTTGCAAGAGCAGATTTTTTTTGTTTTTGTTTTTCGTTTTTTTTTTTTTTTGTTTTTGTTTTTTTTTTTTGTTTTCTGTGTTGTGTTTTGTGTTGTCTTATTTGTTTTGGTTTTTTTCTTTTCTCTCTTCCTTTTGAAGATCTCTTCGATTCAAATGCTCACAAATGGTCTGTGGAACCTAATAATGTTTTAAAACAATTTTCTCACACATTCTTTGAAAAAAGCAAGGATCCATCGAAAAAAAAATACTGGGCTGGTAGAAGGCAAACAACTTATTTTATCTCGAAAGGTGACTTAAAAATTCCCGAACAAAGAGGTATCGCCAAGTCAAGAAAGGTGTTGAGAAAGGCAATCAGATTTTGGAACGCAGTTCGCAATTCGCAATTCAAAAGTGAACTGCATTCCAAAACGCAGTTCGCAATTCAAAATTTAAACATAAGTCATTGGGTCTGAAATTTTGAGGGTAGGCTACTAGTGGTCAGTTACCACTTCTGTGAAAAAATGGTGATGGTACCATCTCTAGTTTCCGAGATATAGCTCTCCAGTTTTTAGGCCTACCATATAATACTATATAAATAAACATCGGGTTCGGGGACATCGAAGTCCCCTGTCCCAGGGTCTGAAATGTTGAGGGTAGGCTACTAGTGGTCAGTTACCACTTCTGTGAAAAAATGGTGATGGTACCATCTCTAGTTTCCGAGATATAGCTCTCCAGTTTTTAGGCCTACTATATAATACTATATGAATAAACATCGGGTTCGGGGACATCGAAGTCCCCTGTCCCGGGGTCTGAAATGTTGAGGGTAGGCTACTAGTGGTCAGTTACCACTTCTGTGAAAAAATGGTGATGGTACCTTCTCTAGTTTCCGAGATATAGCTCTCCAGTTTTTAGGCCTACTATATAATACTATATGAATAAACATCGGGCTCGGGGACATCGAAGTCCCTAGTCCCGGGGTCTGAAATCTTGGGTGGGGTACTAGGGGTAGGTTACCACTTCTGTGAAAATATGGTTATGGTACCATCTCTAGTTTCCGAGATTCACCCCTCCACTTTTTATGGCTACTATATAATACTAAGTGAATAAACATCGGGCTCGGGGAAATCGAAGTCTCCTGTCCTGGGGTCTGAAATTTTGGGAGTGGGGTACTTGGGGTCAATTACCACTTCTGTGAAAATACGGTGATGGTACCATCTCTAGTTTTCGAGATCCACTCCTCCACTTTTTATGGCAACTTTATAAAAATAAGTGAATAAACATCGCGCTCGGGGACATCGAAGTCCCCTGCCCCGGGGTCTGAAATTTTAAGTACTCGTTTTAAACTGAAAGATATATTGGATTTATCAAATCTTTTCAAGAATTATTGGTCCATTGCAGGTTGAGCACAATATTTAACCCTTAATCTTGAGACATATCCAAGTTGTGTTGATTCCCTTTTTTAATCTTGTAATGGAGATGGCTAAAATTGAGATCAAATCTTATTACAGTTAAAAGAGAAAAAAAAACTCTTTTCCAGAACTTCAGTTCCAATATAGTCACGTTGATATCAAAGCATGCGCGTGTATGCTGTGTTGATTCAGATACCACTTCGAGTAAGGTCTATAATAATTACTGAATCACAGTTTTTCTTAAAAAAAAAAAAAGAAAAGAGAAATTTCTTTTAAATAAAAGCGGGGCTTAAGTTTCTCAGGTTTGCATTTTGGCCCAGGTCCACCTGTGTTATTCATTAGGAATTTTATGAAGCCAATTGACTTCCGACTTAGAACTTGTACAATAGGGATAAATTTAAGTGCTGGATACTATGAAACATATTCGAGACGCATTGGGTATTATTGTCAAAAAACCTTTATGAAAAACATGGTGATGCCGTCGTGTTTTACGATTTAAGATCCGACCTCGAATCTTGATCCTTTCGATAGGTCCCGCATTTTTTAAACATCATGCTCAGAAATATTGAAAAACCCGTAACATAGTGGATTGAAATTTTTAGTGGGGATCTAGTCGTCAAATTAAACTAACCACTTCCAGAAATATTTCTGGAACAGAGGCTCAAGGGTCCTAGGTCACCTGAGTATAATGTCACAATATAAAGGATCAGGAGATTGAACATGAAGTAAAACAAAGACGCCGATAAATAAAGCTATGTTGCCCCCAAACAAGAGAAATATGAACATAGTGAACAGGGATCAGCAACAAAATTAATTTATTGTTCAAGAGCAAATATAAAAATTGATTTATTTACTTGCCTGTACTTGCCCAGTTTGTCACTATTCTCATGCAGACTAAACACAATAGTTCTTGAGCACTGTTAGTAAACCTATCTCATTCTCTCTCACATTGGCCTCTG